GAAATCAAATATATAACTTAGGAGCTGAATATTTAGTTGATGCATTAACGATAAATCATGTAAGATAAATTTTCTATTTTTGAGTCTTTAGTTTATCCATATCAATAACTACAGACACTTACACAACTGAATCTAAACAATAACTCAATCGATGTTGGAATAATTCAAAACTTAATTACTGTATTAGAAAATAACCGAATGCAATGACTTTTCTATTTCACTACGTCGTGTTTGTCGTTACAGACTGGTTCCTACAGCAAACGTACTTCGCAAATGTGCACATTGTGATTCTCATGTCTTCATTATTCTACATACTAAAACTTTCATTTGTGTATAGCATTAAAGAGCACAAAATTTTGCATTCTATGATATAAATAAATCATTCATAACTGCAAAAATAGTTGATTAGTAGTGGAAAAAGTGAATGAATACAAAGTTTACTGATTTCAATGTAGTATTTAAGAATTGATATCATTCGAGTCCTTATCTAGAATTCGATAACGATCAATAAATTCAGCTTAAAGGATACTATTTTCAATTTTTTATTGATTTTTAAAGATAAATATGTTGCATTCGTTGTGTATGTAATGTTAGCAAAGCGAAGGTGGTAGCCACTTTTGCTAGGAATGAAGTAATCGTTAGTATTTCACTCGTCTTTCATTTCTTGCAATCAAAGTTCAGACACACTTCTGACGACAAATATCTTAGAAATTGTCATGGCTATTACATATTGGAGACTCAGTTGAAACAGATGAACAATAAACTCTGAAAAGTGTTTTTCGTTTGGTTGTTCACTTCGTAAGAGAAATTGTTAAATACCACAAGTTTCTACGAACATACTTCGTTATCAACTATAACATGCTCATAGTCAAGCGATGGTATTTATTTCTAACTTGTACGTCTATCGATTTACTGAATCTAATTATGAACAACTATGTAGTTTGAATTCAAATGTTTGTGTCTGGAATTACTGTTTTTTTTCTTTCTCTTCTTATGTTACGCCTCTGCATATTGATGACATTTGTTCGATATTAATAATGTACTATTATCGTCAGTTGATCAGACCTCTAATTTGTTATATAGGTAGACAAGGCTTCTTGCCAACACCAATTAAATTATGGTATATATATATCATTTCCAATATGAAGAATGAAATCTAAGATTAAAAATTCTAAAAATATTCAGTAATTGTTAATACAAAAGATAAATCAGTATGATCCAGTGAGATGTTCAGGAACGGTATTTTAAAGTTCTGATGTATGCTTTCTCTGCACTATAGTCAAATCATTTTAATGCTTTAAGGGTAAAGAAGGGAATGGAAAAACTTCTGACTATTCATGATAACGAACAGTTTTGACTGACTATTGATTTTTTTCTTCTTTTCTATGCACCATAATACACATTGAAAGTAGTTTGCATGATAATTAAAAATAGAAAATATCATAAATACAAGCTATGCATATTGAACAGGAATCAAATCAATGAAGTTCTAGGCAAAAATTGTTTTTAACTAGTTACAAAGTGAATTATTGAACTCCAAATGATTTTTTAATGCTCTGTCATATAACTAATAACGAATTTCGCTTGATTTATGTGAAAAATAATGAAATGAATAGAATAAGAAAGTTTTTCCTCTGTCAAGTGAAGTATGATTGTAAAAATATTAACGAAGAACGGTGTTCTAGCTAGAGCTGGAATATTAACATTACTAGAAGAACACATAACACACAGCTTGATAAAATACTCGTGCACGTATTTAAGTATCGCGCAATCTAAAAGATAATGGTAGATAAATCTGCTTTTGCATCCTTAAATAGTTTCTTCTATCCTTGATTTAGTGTAATACTGCGCCCATATACAATTGATAGCTATGCTGTTATAGCGTTGAATATAATTCTTCGAGTAATCGTCTTCAAAATTCTTGTTTTTTAGTGTGATTTTTACTGTTCTCATGTTCGTGAAAGTCCTTACTTCTTCGACTTGGGCGTAAATGAATAGTTACCCATTACTTAGTAACTGATCACGAAAAATTTCTTATATGCTACTTATTCTATCTCAATATATTCAACAATTCACAGCGTTTCATTATTAGCTACTGGACAATATAACTGTGTTGCAACTGTCACCTTCTACCGTGTATCTAGTGAAGTAGTTTTTCATTCACATGTTTCCTTTCTTATGAGTCTCCAAAAGCCTATACGTCGTTAATAGAAATTCTACAGTTGACTTTTTTCTTCGTTGTGCTGTCCATATTAATATATTCAACCAGATCACCAGAATAAAGTCGAAGTGGTCAACGTTTTCTCTTACGAAGTAAACTATTAAAGAAAAAACACTTTTTAAAAATTTATTATTTATCTGCTCCAACTGAATTTCTAGTATGTGATAACCGTCACAATCTGCAAGCTATTTGTCAGCAGAACTTTGTGTAAACTTTGATATCACAAAATGGAAAATAAGCGATGTACCGATGGCTATTTGATCTCCAGCAAAAGTGGCTGTCGCATTCGCTTTGCTAACCTTACATATAGAACGAATGCAAGACTTTGTGTACTCTTTAATGCTATACAAAATTTAAAGTTTTAGGATGTAAAATGATGAAGAGTTGTTCGATACAAAAGTATTCTTTGTTATTCGTGATTATGAACAAGACTATTTCAGTTATAATAAGTCTATCAAATATTTTTTTAACGATTTAATCAATATATGAATTTATTGCTAATTCTAATAACATATTATATTACGATTAATACATTATACAATTGCATGTTAATGTAGCAAGATTATTTATTCTTGTTGTCGATGAAAAAAACTAATAATGATATGATAAAGTTCGCTTGTTTTTATTTTATTTTTTTCTTTTCTTAAACAGAAATGTTCTCGTATAACAAAACAAACAAAAGAAAAAGACATGATCGAGTTGGTATCACTTGTATTCAACCGGATGTCAACAAGCGACAAATTAAAAAAAAAAAAGAAAGAAAATAGTTTTTTCTTATTTTAAACACTGGCATGATGATTCATAAAGTGACTGGTAGATCCAGCTTGTGGAGATGTTGTTGATACTGGTGTATTTAATGCATTAGCTAATGCTTGACGTTCTTCATTTGTTAAAACATTCATACATGTCTGAAATATTGATGGAATTGTCTAAATACAAAATATTTTTGAATTTATTTGAACAAAAAAAACACAAACAAACGAAACTTACTTGAACATGTCTTAATATAAGAATCATACGTTGACCAACAACTGAATTAACTTCAATAGCTGATTTAGCAAAAGCATCAGCAAATAATTTAATCACATTAGGAACATTAGCATTGTCTTGTCCGATAATCACCGGATTATTTCTATTCAATCAAATATATTCTTTTTTTTTCTTATTAAAAATTATTCATTTTAAACTTACGATTCAATTAAATCACATAAATAACCATAAACATGTGGTGTTTCTTCTGTATCTTCAGAAATTGGAAGCCAAGATAACCAAATTTGATGAAGCTAAAGAAATTTTTATAAATATTTTTTCAAATTTTTTTTGTTCTTTAATAGAAATCAATTCGTTTTTTTTTTTTACTTTGTCAATATTATCGACACATGAATTATTATATTTAAATATTTTTGTAACTGCACTAACTGCATTCTCCGTAGCTGTATTATTGTCTACTGAACGACTATCCGGTGCACTAATCATTGCAAATAATGGTGGTAATGCTTCAGCACATGCACGTGCATAAACAGGACCACCATTCATACCCATTACACCAAAACCATATGCAGCAGCTTGACGAACCTTGAAAATAAAAAAAAAAAGAAATTTTGTTATCAAAATTTGATGACGAAAAAAAAACAACAAAACTTCGTTAAAAATATATTTACCTCAGCTGAAGAATCAGCAAGACTTTCAGCCATACGAGTTAGAAAAAATTGTGAATAACGATGTGAATGTGCACCTGTAAATTGTATAACATCATCAAATACACATAATGCCCATTGACGATCAGATACAGAACGTGTTGGTTGAAGAAGAGCATAGAAATGTGGAACTAATGTATCGAAATAAGCCAAATATGAATCTGTGTAAGTTACAAGAAGTGAATGGATTATATCCGATAAACGATTTAAGATATATGCATCAAAATCATCCTAGAAAATAGAAAAATATTTTATTTTTCTTTTTGTAATACTTTAGCTACATGGAAAGTAGTGACGAAGATATTTCAATTCCTTATATCCTACAACTTATACTAGCTGTAGCTTTGGGCAGAAGACTGACGAACACAGAATTCTTGCGCTCAATCGCTTGATCTCCTCGTAGATACTGACTGACCACATATTAGCCACAAGGACAGATGTACGTTATAACATAGTCAGCATGTTATCGGACTGGTGATGTCGACGTTCTAACACTGTACATATTGAATACAAACCGGACAATATAGCCACTCATCTATGCCGGCTGTAAAAAGCTTAAAGAAATTTTCTCTTCATATGATCTGATAATAAAAACAATGTTCTACATTTCTCTAATATATGATCATTGTTCAACTAGTATGATAATAATAAATTTTCGATAAGAGTTATTTGTTCTGATATGTGATATTAATATTAGATCACATATTGTTTTCGATGTGTATGTTCTTCCTGTTTTTTTCTCGCCTTCTTTAGTAGCTAATCGTCTATATATATTATAGTATACAAAAAGTCATATCGGTAGAATGAAAAAGAAAGACACAGAAACAAGTTCATCAAGTCTGTATTTCATTGAATCAATTTAGCAAAAGTGTTTTTTATATTCTTCTTTGTTAAAAAGACTCCTGAACTTGTTGAAAGTGATTTCGAATCGTTTTGATCACTTATATTTTATCTGATTAATTTGAATAACGAGAGAGTACATGATGTCAGATCTGAAGAATTAGTTAAGTAAAGACTTGATAAGTTTTCTTTCTGTATTTCTTTGTTTGTTCCATTGACAATACTTTTACACATAGACGAGTAGGCTATATAGGAGACGAGGACAAAACGCATAAAATAAACATCGAAAATGAAATTACAGAAATAAAGATCATTGTTTTTATCAACAGACTATATAGAGAGAAAATTTCTTTAAACCTTTCATAAGGACTTAAAATATCTTCGCCACTACATTTCATATGCTCTAAATAGATTTTATTTGTATTTACTTCTTCAAGCATTTCTTCTTCAGCTTCTTCATCATGATCTTCATCGTGACGCTTTTCTGCGCGTTCATTTGAACGTTCAAAATGTTTTTTAAAATGACTGTCAAGAATTGTTGTTAATTCTTTTAATTCATCACTTGTTAAACATGATACTCCTAATGTTTCAATACACTAAAGATAAAAAATAATTAGAACTAAAAAGAATTTTTTTTTTATTTTTACTTTGCCCAATGATAAAAATAATTCTCCAAGTACTTCATGATCAGGTTCAATTTCAATTGCTTTAAATAATTCTTTATTCATGTATTGCCACATTTGACGAACATAATCATCGCCACGTAATTTAGCACAATCAAGTAATAATGGTAAAGATTCAGCTGCTGCTGCACGAACACCTGAAAAAAACAAAGTCATTATCTATTGAATTATTCTATTCGAGATGAAATAATCATTTTCTTTAGCGACTTTGGATCGAGAACTAATATAGATCAATTATCATTCTTGTAAAACATCTAGGCAAAACACTGAAACTGAGAATGATTGATCTTGGTCTTGAGTTCCGCATGTTTTGGTCGATCTCAATCGATTGACAGTAGATTAATACATCGTAAGAAACCGTGTGACTCTATCTCGGTAAATTACTATAAGTATCGTCCATCGTTGATATGATCATATAAATTAACTCTATTTTCATAGGTGTCAGCCATTCTTATCTAGTCGCAATTGTTATCGTTTTGCACTGGATAGGATACTATATTATGATTTGACTGTGATAATTGAAGTTTTCTAGAAATTCTATAATCGAATTCTAATTTGAAGCTTTGTCCACATAAATATCTCAAGTAGATGAGTTTGTATAAAACAATTTCAGAATTTTTATATATAATATTACTAATAGTGAAATTTTTCAAACTAGCCATGTTATATACAATATCTATCAACAATTACTTATGTTTCCTAGGATCGAAATTTCGCGAATATTTTCTACGAAAATTATGTTCCAGATTAAAAATTCGAAAGAAAATTTTTTTATTGAGAAATCAGAGTCCGACATTGACATTCTAATAAAACTTCTCTATCTCAGTCAAATCACAATAAAGACTCATATTTCCTTATGTTTTCTTTTTTTGCATGTCTACATGTTCTTTGATTGTAGACAACATATGAAATCAAAAGTTTTAAATAAATTCTGATGATTCTTTTGTGAAAAACGATCTAAAAGGAGTGCTCAAGTACTTAGGATAGAAATTTGCTTCTCAATCCCGTCACAGATCATGATAGGCATTACCAAGGACATGTCACAGAGAGTGATAGATAGAACTGACAGGCCATGTCAGCTGTCGTAAGAATAATAGCCACATGGTATTTGACATTTTAATTTCTCATAGATTGCATTAATAGCTTTTGTGAATATAACGAAGTGTTGTATGTATATATATATTAAGCAATTCCTTACCTTCATGAAAATAAAATCTAAGTAATGGAACCATTAATTTCGTTGTTTCTTCAACATAATTAACAAAACCTTCTTTTAATTCTCTTGCATAACAAACCAACATTGAACAAGCACTTGCTTTTTCTTCTAAACCTGTTGTTTTTATTCCAAATGCCTTCAAACAAAAAAAAAAAATGTATTTCAAATAAATTTTCAAATAAATATCTTACTTGATCACCAACATTTAAAACTTCCCAATTATCATCTTCTTCAACATCAGTCTCTCCATCAGCAAGTACAGTTACTTCTGGTTTAAATGCTGCAGCTTTAAGAACAGGTCCCATGACAATAGGTAAATATTGTTCAAAATCTTTGCCTAATATTTTACATATACGTGTCCAAGCACCAATTAAATAAGCTATTTGTGGATCATCATTTCCCAAATTTTCAAAATCAACTTGAGTTTTAACTAATTCTTGCATAACTTCATAACAATCATTAATAAACTAAATATGAAACAACAAACAAAAAAAAACGTTATTTTCTTTTATCTTAATTTCTATAATGATTAAACAAACTTTTTCTTTTCCAACAGCTAAACCAATCAAACTAATACATTCCATTGTTTTACCACGTAACATTCGATAATCTGGTGAAACAGCATTTTTAAATAAATATTTCAATTGTGGCATAAATCTTTAAAAATAATAATTTTTTTGTTAAGAAAAAAAAAAAAAAAAACGAGTTCACTAACCGTTCATAATATGGTGAAAATCCTTCTGCAACTGTATCAGCAATAGCTGCAAGTGTTGTTACAATTTGTTCAAGAACTAATTTTCGATTATGATGAACAAGCTAATAAATAAGAAAAATATTATTTTTCATTAAAAAAAAAAAATGAGAAAATTTTTCAAGATATTTGTTTTTTGAAAATAGATCGATTATGATTAATTATTCTTAAATAATTTTTCTATATAAATTTACTTCTTGATATTTTCGATTTAAAACTTGTTCTAATTTTTCAATAATTTGTGGTAAATGTTCAATAAGTAAACGTGGTGGACAATCTTCAGAAAAATTTACTAATGCAGCACCACCATGAGCTTGTGTTCGTGGATTATCATGATCATCAAGTATTGAAAGAAGACCTGGAATAACTTTAGTATGAAATTTTTTTTGAAATGTTCCTTGAAAATCAGTTGACATTTGTCCTAATGCATTACATGCTGCATAACGAACACGTGGATGCTTAAATATCATTAAAACAAAACAAAACAATAAAATTCTTATTTTAAAAACCAAAAAGACGAATTTTCTACCGAATCTTTAAGAAATACTAATATTCCGTTAACAAGATCATCAAGAATGACTGACATTTCTTTATGACAACCTTCACCAGTTGCTGATAATGCCATTAAACCAGCATGACGATAACGCCAATCAGCTAAACAAAAACAAAAAAATTGTATTTTATTTTCTTAATCAATAATTTACGATTTTGAAGCATTGTTTGAACTGTATTTAATATATAAGTAAGTACAGTTTTACCACCAAGTGCACAAGCAAGACGATCTAATGAACTTTCACCAACAACAGCATTACTAAAAGAATTTTTTTGTTTTTAAATATAAATTTTTTTAATTCTAACCTATCATCTTCTTCTTCTTCAATTGTATCTTTTGTTGACCATTCAGGATCATCTTCTAAATCAACCATCATTTCAAGTAATTGAGGAACTAAATAAAAATTTTTCTTTTTTTTTTTTTTTGTTTTTATGAAATTTCTTTTGTTTACCAAGTCTATTCATATATTTCTTTGCTACTTTACGAACCATTCCACTAGCTGTTTCAGCAAGTGTTATAAGAACTTCAAGAGCTAAATGACGACGTGATTCTTCAAATTTATCTTTTTCTTGCATAGCCTATATTAATTAATATTAGAATTTACAAAATAAAATAATTCAAATATTAATTATATACTAACTTGAAGACATAAATTAAATATATCATCTACTGCAGGTCGAAGATATTTTGGAGCATTTTCAGCTATATCAACTAATGCTTTTAGTACATTATCATCATCTGTATTAGCCAAACTATGTGTTATTGTCTAAAAAAAATATATATATATATAGAATTTTTCAAATCATACTCGTAATTAATTGTCTTTTCTTATATAGAAATAAAATATCCAAATAAAACTTTATATGCTTTTTAATATGAACAGAAATTTATTTTCACAAAGAAAATTGTTTTCTAAAATATTATGTACTAGAGTTCGTTGGATTCTTAATTCTCCGATCTGGACCCGATGGACTAAACTTTTTCAAATCCAATCAAAGTCTACTTTAATATTCTCGATGAAATTTTAAACTAAAACTTTCAAGATACATCATTAGTATAGATTTCAAATAGAATACTAATACTATAGAGAATGAAATGAAAATATTCATATTTTCAAGTTAAATTGATAATAATTCAAACATAATTTTTGGGATTATGATGTGCATATAACTTAATTTTAAAGAATTAAAATTTTGTTTACAACAAATAGATTAAGAATTTTGTCATAATCAATGGATTTTAAGAGATTAACACTTCTGAAGTTCAAGATTCAATGATCAAATTTATAAGAAGACTCCTTTCAATTGATTTTTCGAAAAAACACAAATATAAATTAGCATATTTATATCCAATAATAATTAGTTTTCAGAAGTTTAGCTCAAAAATCTGAAAACGTTTAGTTTTTTTTTTTTGTAAAACGATTCGATTAACAATTATGAAAATCTTGGTTTCAAATCCTTCAATTGAATCCGACTTGTTAAATCTACATAAAAGATTATGTTTCTTTTTAAACGTATTATCAAGTTTGATTTAGAAAAAACAAAAAGGAAAACATACCGAAATAAGACATGGTAAACAATCACGATAAGCATTTAATAATTGTGTATTATCACAATTATGTTTAAGATAAGCAGCAAATGCTGTTGCAGCTGTATAACGAACTTCTGTATCTTGATCATTTAAACAATTCAAAAAAATCTGATGAATTATTTGTGTTAATTGTTCAGCTTGATTACCAAATATACCCGGAAAAGCTCTATAATTATATTAAATAAAATTAATTTAAAGTAGAAAAATAATTTACTCAAAAATAACTAAAGATGATTGTTTTAAAACATTATGTGATGAATTAGCTGATTGAAAAAGAAATTCCATAACTTCAGGCCATTGTGATTGATCATTTTCATCTATAATTTTTGAGAAAAAAAATTATTTTGTTGAATTTTTTTTTTTTTGTTTTTATACCCATTAAATTTCTAGCTAATTCAGCAACAATATAACAAATTTTTTTTCGAATATTTTCATCATCATCTAATTGTGTTATTCGAGTGAGCAATTCTTTTTTCAAAGCCATTTGTTGATCAGGGGAATATTTTGGCCAAAATGTTTCAAATTGTGTTTGAAATAAACGGCGAAGTAAAACAGCCGAAAATGCTCGAAGCTTAAATTATTAATTATATCATTATTTAAATATATTAAAAAAAAAAAAAAGTTTCTTTTTTTTTTTTGTTTTCCTCTTCATACCGGTGTATCTAATGCTGTATTTCGTAATGTTGACATTAATAGAATTGTTTTTTGTTCATCCGGTATCTCTTGATAGACAGCCTAATAAAATAAATATTAATTTTATTGAATTAAAAGACTTTCAAAAACTAACTTCGGCAGCAGTACGTTTTTCATTATCAGGTTGTAAACATTCTTGAAGTGTAACAAGAAATTTTTGTTCATCTATTGATGGTATCCCTGTCATTGTTTTGAGAAGAAAAAATGTTTAACTTAGATGGTCGATAAGAGAAAAACTTAAGAGAGATAATATCTAGAAAAAAAAATAATTATAGAAAACAATATCTGAATGAATCAATGCGCCATACAAATGAATCGCTATAAAGACTCAATTAAGAAATATAGACCTTTGTTTGTTCCAATCATAGCATCCAATCAGTGATATCTTTCCACTATTTCATAGCAATTTTATTTTTTTATATGTTAATGGCTTCATAAATTATGAGGATATTCAAGGAAAAACGTATAGATTATGTTCTAAGTTTTATAATGAATTATTATTCAAGTGCATCATTTAAGGTTGATCATCTTTGCATGACATCTATTGAAGATTGTCCAACAGTTTGCATACATCCAACAACACTGAACTATTTAGGCTCGACTTCATCTCGGACGTGATTGAATTTGACGTTTTTGGTGACTGGCAAGTATCCTAGGAATCGGCGAAGTGTTCCTAAAAGTATATGGGTCATCATGAATGCTTGAAAATTATAATCTATCGAATATTTTCGAACGTCAATCTGCTTCGATTGTTCGAAGTTTTAAATGCATCCGATGTAGAAAGTTTCTTAAATTGGTCTATTTGTTCAATTATTTTTACTATAAGTGATGTAGGCAGGGGGTTTTTAAGTCATGGGCTGTTTTTCAGCTAAATTCTTGTCAGGAATGGACAACATTGTACAATTAACAATCAACTAGGCTTCAGTATTTTTAAAACTTATTAACATTATAAAAACTGATATTTATTGAAGAGAAATTCGTTACTCTTGACTAAGATTTGAGCTCATTCGCTTTCTTTCTAGCCTTTTATATTCAACTATTTGAACATAGTACATCAAAGAATATAAACAAGCACAAACACAAGATACAATTTGTTAAAACGACTCCATTTAGAGCTTGTTACAATTAAGTGTATAAAAATTTTTTGGCATTGGCCAATGCGCATATTTTCAGAAATGATTTATAAACCATTGTCCCGGGGCTATACCATATGCTACGCCATTATTTACTATTACTACACTTTTTCAAATATATTAGATCTACTTTTCTGAAATCTGGTTTCTGAATACTAATCAATCGTTTTTTTAGGGTTAGATTTTATAAAATAACTGAAGTCTTTTTCAAACATGAGAAATTTGAGAAATACAAAAAAGAGCGGCAAAGAACATCAAAAGCAAAATAATTGGTACTTTGAAATTACATAATTTATTATTGTGATAAAAGTACCAAAACTTGTTGTCAAGATGTTTCACTAAAATAAAACTGATATATTTCGATAGTATTTTTAAGCGTAAAAAGCTAGTCGAAAGCCAAAACTTTAGCTATTTCCATCAGCTTGAACCAGAGTAATTCAATCACAATCTGGCATATCTACTAAAGATTACATTATAAAAATAGTTAGCAGATACTTAATAAACGTTATATTAACTAAAATAAATAAATACATTCAATATTCTAATTAGATTCTGTGTTTTGTGATTATTCATAAAATAAATATTTTTCAACATCCTAATGAAGATAATAATACAACTTATGTTAGCATTCGACTTGTTTTTTTTCGTATTGGTATATATTATTAAGACTGTTATCGTATCTTTTATTTTATTTGCGGAACTATGAAGATCCTAAAAGAACAATTGTTTTTAAATCTGATATTTCGCAGAGAGTTAAAAAACATGACCACAAAAAATTTTTCAGCGAGGTTCCATGAGCGGCCAAAGTGTAGTACTTAGAAAGCCTGACTGCTATAAATTCATAGTACATTATCAGATGGATTAAAATAATTCATCACAACAACATCCTTTCGTTTCATTGGATACCAAAACTTGCGACATTTAGATGAACTAGAATCGACAGTAAAAATTGTGGATTCATAAAATGTTTTGGGAATCTTTAGAAAGTTTCAGAATGATCTAAACATTGTTATTACTGATGCACCTTTCCCCAATTGCTAACATCGAGAGATGAGGAGTCACAAAAACCTCAATTTAAACTTATACTTGCTATTTTCTTCGCAAATATGTGAGTCCCACAAAAGAATTTGCCGTTGTGGTGATCTTTTAGATTGAGATATTTTCCTGGGAATTCTATTCATTTTCTTCACTACAGATGTATTATGTACAATTTATAAGTGAAACTCATACTCAAGAGAAAAATTTTCAAGCTCATATTGCAAAAGAAACTCGATAGTTTTTTAAACTCAGATAATATTCGAAATGACGTTATTTCTTCTCTTTCAACTGAGAATCAAACTGAATTAGATAATGGCAAAGTTTTTTTTACACTCACAAAAGATTATTCAGGAAAAAATTTGGCATCTATGCTTATCTATTATCAATATTAGTCGAGATCATGATGCAGAAATACAACACAGTAGGAAAAAGTGTGATTTCCAAATATAAATCAGTGACTTTCATGATATTTATGGAAATTTTTCTTCAAATAATATACAAGAATTAAATGCATCGATTGGATCAGTTTTATTTGATGCAAAAGTTATTTTAGAAGTCGATTCAAATCTATTATCATGTATGAACCGTGAAGCATTTGTTGATCAACAAGAATGAAAATTATATGATCATGTTGATACAAAAAGTAAATTAATTAAACGATTTTTATTTCAAAATGATAATGAATTAGAAACGTCAGGTCATGAACAAAAATGATCCATTTTAATTATTGCATGTCATGCAGGTATTATCTATGATTGTTTTACTTGTTCTCTGTAGTTGGCCTACCAATGAATGATACAAGCTAAAGCATCCTGTTGTAAAAATCCAGATAAAATATCTGTTATCTATAACTGAAATTAGTTCTTTCACATTGAAGTGAAGGAATGCAACTTCTAGTCTAGTGTTAGATTGGGTCAGAACACTGATTTTTGTTATGAAAAGTATAAAGAACTGAAGTGTCTATAGGTGGATTTACTTTCGGTTAAGAAGAATTTGGGGAGTGTAGTTAAAAGTGTAACAATTGAGTCTGTGTGAGCAAATACAAGAATCGCACCTACACTCATATCGTTGAATTTTCTATACTTATTTTTCAAAGCCATGAATTAATTTTTTTATGATATTTTTCTCATAGTCATTTCATTTGAATTTGCTAAGAATAAAAACTTACTATGTCATGAGTAAACTGAAACCAATCTTGATACAATGAATCATTCTTTCAACTATTTTTAATCATCATAATACATTTATTTTATATGTATTTCTAAAAATATCTTATGCGATGCATAGTCATAAACAACTATGAAAAATATAGAATGACTCCAATACGATTTGAGTTGATGTATTTTATGAATATACTTCGTATTTATTTTCATATCAAAGTATATCTACTGAATTCCATTATTGTCAAATGAAAAGAAAGCAAGAGTTACGAAAAAACTGCTTTCGTCGTACCTTATCTGACGAACTTCAACATGTATCAATCGCTTGCATTCAGTCTAAATGAAACAGGCACTTTTAATGAGCAGAACAGAAAGCAAGTTTCTGAAAAACCTATCATTTAAATAAAAATTTCTGTTCGAAACGAATACATTTTCAATTATGTTGACAGATCATACGAAAATGATTTTATGTATACAAAGCACGACAATCAATCAATTGTCATTCGGATTATTAATCAAATTTGATTTTAATCCGTCATATTATTGAATTTATAACCAATAGATAGAGTCTATTATTAGAAAAATTTGATAGTGATTTCAATAAAAATATGATATTGATAATAAAAAGAAAAAAATAATTTAATGAAAATATGAGCACCATTTCAGTTTATTAATTAATTAACCTAATCTTATCTTTTAACGGCATACAATATTAAATATAGAAAAAAAAAAAAAATGAACACAATATTCTATACAAACTGTTCACACACATTTTATACGATAAATATTATCATATTAATTGTATTTGTTAAAGAAATTTTAAATTAAGTATACATAAGTTCAGCTGCACCTGATAATGATTTCGGTAAATAGAGAAAATTATCTAAATAGGCAGCTAATTCTTCAACATTACATGAATTAGCTGTTGTTCGACGTGTATCAACAATAGTACATGATAATTGAGATTGTGCTGTTGTTGTTGTTGTTGCTAAATTTACATCTTCTTCATTAATTGATGAAACTATTGATTTCGTACGAAATAAAGTTATTGTTGGTGATGAAGAATGATGAGTTTGAGAAAGACTACATGTTGATAGTGAACGAAATCTTTTCAAAAATGATGATGAAATAGAAAAATGCATTGAACGAAATAATGAAACATTTTTCTTTCCAAGTATATTTGATTTTGTGATTGATGATGAATGTAAACGTTTTAAACGTGATGAACGAAATGCTTTTATTTGATATGATGGAACATAATGAAATTTTGATGATGATGATAATGATGAGAGAGTTTTAAGACCGAATGTACTTTCATCAATTAAATTACATAGTTGATCAATATCAGAAATTGATGAAGATAACTTATTTGAATTGAAAGTTTTTTTTCTTGCTTCAATTTTTTTATATTGATCCATTTTAACATTCGAATTAGACAAAAATTAAACTGTGAGAGTTAACACTAAGATTCTTTTAGATTATACAGTTATCTAAAGATAACAATAGAATTATAGATGATGAAAAAACTTATAGGCAATAAAGACAAAGCAAAAGAAAAGACATGTATTGATTGATGATTCATCAAACTCGTGTGTATTTAAGATGATTTTGTCGATTTTGATTTGGCGATAGGTTTGCCTTTTTTGTTTTTTATACGAACATTTGAGTACTAAATGTTTTTATTGATTTATTTGGTTTTAGAGACAAAAAGAGATCTTTCTAATATAGGTCAATTAATTGTTTGAAATATAGAGATGTCAGTAGCAATCAATCAAGCTTTGGATAATTACATATACTCATCGCTGTGTATGTAAGGATTTTACTTAACAAAACCAAGTATATCTATTTTGTTTTAA